CTCCTCCCTAAATGCAAGACTGTTTATTCGTGTAAAGGCTCCAAAGTCTGGGGTCAACTGATCAAAAGATCACAACTGAAAGATCTGGTGGTCGTGACTTTCCTATTTTGTACGTCACAGAGTGACGCCAGACCCAGGAAAAGAACGCGCTATAATGAAATATATTGAAACATCCACCCCACCCGACCAGACGGACTCGGAAAACAAATTGCCCCCATTGTTTTCATCACAATCAGGAGCTCAAGTACCGAGTTTGTTGGTACCTGTAAACAGCCTTGTAGATGTTCACGTGATTACCCGAAAAACCAAGGCGCTATACAGTATCTCGGAACCGAAAGCAACACAAACCCTACTTACAGCGACACAAACCGGCACAAACGCAGCACTAACGATTGAGACCAGTCCGGGTCTTCCCAAAAAGAGGTTGGTTTAATCGTTTGTGCTGTCTGTAGGGGGGGGCAACTTCACTTCGCTGCATACGCCAGGTTAGTCCTCAAGGCTGTCTGCAGGGTGACCTCTAGTGACAGCTGTGGCTACTGCAGTCTTCTCAGGAGCACTCGCTCCAGTCACCGCGGTTTCCGGGTCACTGTTCGGGAAGGAGTCTTAGCTGCAGGTAAAACCTGGCGAATGGCAGCTCTCCGGGACCAGGAGTCAATACCCCTGAGCAGGAACAGGCGCGCCCAGTCCTTCTCCTGGAGGAGATCCGGTGTGTCCGCAGGTTTTCTAGGTCTCTTTAAAGCACCAGCAACTGGGAAGAGTAGGAGTAGCAGAGGTAGTAGCAGTAGCAGCAGTAGGAGTAGCTGTAGGAGTAGCAGGTGTAACTGTAGCAGCAGGAGTAGCAGCAGCAGGAGTAGCTGTAGGACTAGTAGCAGTAGGAGTAGCTGTAGTAATAGTAGCAGTAGCAGCAGCAGTAGCAGCAGTAGGAGTAGCAGTAGCTATAGTTGTAAGAGCAGTAGAGTAGCAGTAGCTGTAGTAACAGCAGTAGCAGTAGCTGTAGTAACAGCAGTAGCAGTAACTGTAGTAGTAGCAGCGGTGGCTGTAGTAGCAACAGTAGAACTAGCAGTAGCAGCTGTAGTAGCAGTAGGAGTAGCAGTAGCAGTAGGAGTAGCAGTAGGAGTGGCAGTAGCTGTAGTTCTAACAGCAGTAGGGTAGCAGTAGCAGTAGGAGTAGCAGTAGCTGTAGTAACAGCAGTAGCAGTAACTGTAGTAGTAGCAGCAGTAGCTGTAGCTGTAGTAGCAACAGTAGAACTAGCAGTAGCAGTAGGAGTAGCAGGAGCTATAGTTGTAGCAGCAGTAGGGTAGCAGTAGCAGCTGTAGTAGCAGTAGGAGTAGCAGTAGGAGTAGCAGTAGTAGCAGTAGCT